CCTTCCTGCGGTTCATTTTCGGATTCTTGGAATTAATCCAGAATGCTTCTAGAGTTTTGCGTGCTTGTGTTCTCGATTCTTGCGCAGGGATCGGAACCCTTACTTCAAAATTTTCTCCGTTATGTTTCTGCGTGCTATGCGTACCTAGTGGAGTACTTAGCTTACGTTATGCTTATGTTGTGCTTTTAGCTTATGCTAAATGTGATTGAAATCTTGGTTTAGAGTTTTCTCTGTTTGGTTATGGAGGTGTTTGGCCGAGTGGATTGCTGTCAACTTGACACTTCCAGGTTCTGAGGAGGACGAAATCTGCCGAAACGACTGCTATTATTATCTCACATGTGCCTTCTGGTATGCTTTCCTCATCGCGCTGCTACCGTATGCTGAAGGCGATAAACTTCACGTGCTACAGACAACATTCTCCACAAAACACTGGGCGTTATCTATCAAGTTTTCAAACAAATCAACGTGCAATTTTAACAGAAGCTATAATATCTCCACATAAACTTTGTTCATGAACTACTGTTTAGTCTTTACACGATATTTCTGTGCAAGCAGCTGTCAGATTGTACGGGCTGAGAAAGATTCTAGAATCTCCTTTTGTGCATTAACTCCAGTTTTCCATTCAACAGTACACCAATCAGAAAATATGTTTAAGCACCAGCGTATTCATCCCTCAGTCCGCTCAAGTAGTGCTGCAGTCCTCAATTTTCTTGGTTGTTTGGTTGAGCTGTGCTCTGCATGGAAGTTCTTTCCTATACTTGCTTCGTAATCGTTAAAAGTAGCTACATACCACACAGTCTACTAATCGACGATTCTCTCCAACATTCTTTTAGGTGGAAATGTCAACCAAATCGCAAAACAGTAGTGTAATAAGAGGACTGTTTATTGTGTACGTTCGAAACCAGTCTAATATACAGTTCAACTATGTGACGGAATAAAATTGAGAAATCCATGAAATTCACATGTCTCGTATTTGGCAATACCTAAATATGCAATATTTGGAAAAAATGTTTCAAAATCAAGATATCTTATGTTTAAAACTACCAGAAGAAAATACGGAAAGAGCAACACTGGAAGATTGAATCGAAATCATTGTCCTTATTTGCGACAAAGAACACGCCCACTAAAATTGATACGTGCGACGATACCGTATTTAGAGGAATAGAAGCCGTATTCAGAGAAAGACTGCGTGTTTAAAAAAGGCAGGTTACTTTGCTTCACTCTGGGCTCGAGACTTCGTCACGACACCGGATGTTGTCGGCACTGGCTTTCCTTTTCTCACTATGTCTCGGTACTGCCTCAGCTCTGCTTCCAGATCATTATGGCGTTTTTCAGAATCTCATTTCCGTAACACCTTTTTTTCGTATCATTGATCTGCAAGGAACACTCATGTTAAAAAAGAACAGCAAAATGAAGGACCTTGCTAGGAAAGTGCGATACTCTTCGTGTCTTTGAAGGAACTGGGCAGTTGTAAATTGCAACTGTACTGCAGGGTGCCTCCGACTACTGCACATTATGCGCCTTTGTTAATAGAGATAAAAACCATCTGCATAGTTTGGCCAATGATGTTCTACTTTTTTATGTTCTATCACGACAAAATTCCTAACATTTGATGCCGGCGAATGTTCTAAATGTATTTTCATCAGCGGTGTTTTGCTGGGACAGAGTTTAGCTTTTGCAAATATTTTCACTATTGTAATTGTGATTGTATAAAGTGAGGTAGTGCATCACCGTATGCAAATGGGAACCTCTCTAGTTTATTGCTGACAGTACATGTTGAAATTCTTGGGGTTAGCTGATATCTCCACTCTATTTTAAGGCTCCACTGGATGTGGGCAGAGCTAAGTTTCTCATCGCCGGTGGACAGGAAAGAGAAAACGCTCTTGGGAAACGGCCGCCTTGCGATTCCAATAAAGAGCTAAGAGGACTTTTTAAAAAATATGCTTTTAGCCGCAGCAGCAAAAAAATATTCGTTTAATGAGTATGTTGTGCATCGAAAGGCGCATTCGATACGATAATTAAGAACATTCTCCATAAGTTTCGAAGAGCTAATGACGACCTTTTCTTGCACACTAAAGGAAACATTAAGTTATAACTTTTGAAACTTGCCGGAAACATTGAAGCTTTAAAATGGAGTGGAAATATCGGCTAACTCCGAGAATTTCAACGTGTACTATCGGCCATGGACCAGGCGAAAGTTTCGCCGGTACGATCTCGCCCTATTTCACCTTGTACTAGCAACATTACAAAAGTCAAGTAATTAGAAAAACTGAACTCTGCCCCCTTTCTGGATGACGCCGAAGACGAAAATGCAGGCAGAAAAATGCTGGCTTCAAAATTTAAGAATTTTATCATGGTAGATTAAAGGAAAAGTAGAGCATAATTAGCAAATGTGTGCAGATGGCCGACGGCGTTCTTTTCCTTTTTGTGCTTCGCCTTTTTTATTTTCATCATCTGTACACTTCTAAAAGCACAATTGTAAGACTGAGGTATATTTTTCGTATCTACAACACGAGAAGCAACAATTGAAAAAGTGTTTTAGTGGCACTAAATGTTTCAAAAAAGCTAGTATTATGAAAGACTTACTAAGACACAGATATGGCGAAAAGTTCTTAGTTGAGTACAACGTCTTCACACTCCACAAGTGTTTGTACTTGTCAAGCCGCCTATATATCCCACATATGGGTTTTATTTCGTAAGGTAAACCTTTGCTACATAAAAACTAAGCAAGCGAAAAAGCCCACTGTGTTGAAAGTTAATCGACGAAGTAGAGTTTCTAGAAATGTTTTATTTCGTTCCTCAAGGATATTATTTAGTTTCACGTTGAGAGCTTCTCTAGCCTCTTCTGCAGACTCGTAACGCTGCTGCAGCTCATTTACTTCACTTCGAGCTTATGTGAATTATTCAATGCAGCAACTTGAACCAGTTTTCACTATGCACAGTGGTATACGAAGCAAAAAAATCTTAAACTCTACAAAGTGGAAAAAAGGTCATCAAACCACGAACGTTTGATAGTTCGTTCTCAAGTCGTTCTTTCGTAAATTCTTCAAGTGTTCATCTCCACAGTCGTGACCGTGTTTCGCGCATCGCTTCATCATGCAGCTGATAGTAAAACAATAGGCTTGGGTCCTAACCCAGCTGCTAAAATTCATTCCAACCCATCTACCTAACACCAAAATATTTCTAGACCACCTAAAGTGCGCGCACCCAAAAAGCACGCATATAATGGAGTCATTCGATGTTAGTTCACTTTATACCAACGTGTCCAATGACTCCGCAATGCAAGCCATTCTCGAGTTGCTCGTAGAGCATGAAAAGAAAATAAAAATGCACGGCTTGTCGATTGCGCAACTAATGACTCTCTTAAAACAGTGTCTTAGTTGTTCAATCTTTAGGTGGTCTGGAAAATATTTTGCACAAATTAGAGGGTTGGCCATGGGACAGCGTTTAGCACCAAGCCTTGCCATCGCTTTCATGTCTAAGGTGGAAGCTCCAGTTCTCGATCACCGACACTTACTCTACTGTCGATACAGAGACGACTGCTTCATCGTCTGTTCCACACAAGAACAGATGGATGAGTGCTTTGAATTATTAAACCGACAGTCAGAGTATACAAAATTTACACGAGAAAAACCTACCGAGTACTGGCTTCCATTCTTAAACATCCAAATAAAGCTCTCAGTAAGTGGTTATGTAACAAAATGGTATCACAAGCCAAGTAGTAAAAACATTCTAGTTCACTGCCTCTCCTCTCATCCTTCACACATGAAAAAAGCACTTATCAAGAACATGTATCATGCGGATAAAAATGTGTGTACAGGAGGAGAGGAAAGGAGTGAATCGCGAAACCTGGCACGAAAAATTACCATTTCCAATGGCTACGAAGTAGATGCCACTCGGGTTAGAGGAGAACGTTGGGTAGTTTCCCAAAATGATATTTCAGACGAAAGTGGGATCCCCTTTAAGCTGCCTTTCATATCAAATGAAGTAAGTCACGCCATTAAAAAGTGCATAAGAAAAAGTGGGCTTGAAAATTACGTAACGATTATTGACATCCCACCCAATACCCAACTCAGCCAGTTAGTTCGAAACCGTCTCTATGATCGTTTGTGCAGCTCAGAAAACCGTATGATCTGTCCAAATAAAAGAAACGAGGATTGCATGAGTTTAGGTATAATATACTTGATCTCATGCGGAGAGGAATATATCGGGGAAACGGGTAGACCACTTTGTGTCCGCATAAAATAACATCTAGATGGAAGAGCTAAAATCCGTTTAAACACCCCTCTAGGTACGCATAGGGCACAAAAGCACAACGGCGATGATTTTGAAGTGAATGGGCGGATCCTAGCGCAGGAATCAAAAACATCAATGCGCAAAACTCTTGAGGCGTTTTGGATAAATTTCAAAAATCCAGAGATGAACCGGAAGGACGAATGCCTCACTATCACGCGTGATCTGGCGCCCTATTTCAAAATGATATTTTGACCACGGGGCGTGTCTTGCTCGCGTGAACTACCTGTGGGCCAGTCTCTCACGTAAGATCACGGTGAGTGGCCTTTCTGTTCAATATGGCGTCTATTTGGAAGTTTGTTCTTCATTAATACTTTAACCTTCTTTTCCACCGAATAATAAAAAGTATTCTAACATAAAGTACGTCCAGGCTCTGAGGAAGGCGAAGTCGCCGAAACGTCAGCCATCGTTCAATAACATCAAAAACAACGACAACGACAACGACAACGAAGATCTGTACCAACTTCGAGACAGCTTAAGAAGATCAGTTTATAAGATCACATAAATAAAAAGACGGAACTATTCCTATATCCCGCGATGACATGGAATCCATAACGGAAAGGTTCCATTCCAATTTTTTCCGCTCTACAATCTCTGTACAAGACCCTGAAATCATTTCTTGCTAAGAATCGCCCGGAGTTAGTGGCCACAAATTAAACATACTTCTCTTATTTCACATGTTATCTGACGTTAAGGAAGAGACAATTTCAGACAAGTGGATGAGATCGTGCACGGTTATCATGCCCTAGAAGGATGACCGAAGGTACCTTCGTAACTGCTCTATGCTTGCTGTCCTTGCCTTTACCGACTACGAGTGACAGTGTCGAAGCAAATACAATCCTATAAGCGCTTGTCAACCAAGTGGATTGCCCGCCCTATATGCGAACTTTAGCAGCCTTTATCGGAACTGCAGTACAAATATGCCGCTTTTACGTCGATGCTTCACTAATCGCTTTGAAAAAAGGCTTCGACAAGGTGACACAACATCGCTAAAGCTGCTTACTGCCGCCGTACAATGTACAATCTAATCACTCGACTTCCAGGAGAAGGGCTTACTTATTGGCGGGAAATTCTTGGCAAGCCTTCGTTTCGTGGATTACGTCGTCATATTTTCGAGAAGTACCAGTGGAGCAGTGATGATGCTCAATGTACTTAATCAAGCGAAAAAAAGACTGGATTGCTAGTAAATAGAGAGAAGACCCAATTCATGAAAAACTCATGGTGCGAAAGTAAACAAATCGAACTTGGTCGTTCTTTTATTACAAAGACCACCTCGTACGCTGTTCTTGGACGTTCGGTGAAAATAGAGAACAAAATGTAGAAATTACAACAAAGAAGAGGACAACATGGGCTGCATTTTGGCCACTCTAAAGAGCCACTGAGCAACCAACGGACTCTGAACACCCTAAACTCCGCGCTCACCTGCTCGATTCAATTACACATCCAGTGTCCATTATGTAGTAGAAACTTGGGCTAATACTTCGACCACGTCAAGAAAACAGTGAACCACCCACGGAACGCTTGAACAATGTTTTCTAAAATATGAACGAGACTCCCCGCATGTATCCAGAATGCGATACTGTGATTTTCGAATTCTGTAACACTTTCAGAATCCAGAATAATGTACATCGCTAGCTAAACGCAGATGGCGCTGTCACATACAATAAGAAGAACAGATGCCGATTTGGCGAAAAGAACAGCGGAGTGGTCTCAAAAAGAATGCAAGCGCCCTTTGGAAGATCGCATTAACGATAGCGGATGTGTTGATGGCTAACGTGAATCGTTTCCATTAGCATATGGAATCGATTTTAGGATTACCATTGGGCCTCACGAGCGCCAAAAATTTCGAAGCGGACCATCAAAATGGACGACGATTGCTGTGTGGAACAGAAGCGAATGGAAATGATGGGGTGGGGGTGGGGGAGGGGCGGGCAAACAACCAGTGAAAACGGACCATCCAGGTATCCAAGTAAGTAAAAGAATGCGGCTTCAGCTTAACTAGGTTTAGTGTCGACTTGTACTCCCCAGGCTACTTCCGTTACCGGTAAGTTGCTGATGGTACCGTTAACGTAAAAAACAGGTTAGGAAAAAAGGCATAGCAAAGATCTCAGTGCTACAGTGATAACGTGTGAACCTTCACGAAGGGTAATCGCAGTTTGCTCTGGTCTGGGGCTGAGCTTTGGGAACATCGCGGAATTATTAATATTGTAGTTCTAATACTATTCACATTATGGAAAAGGCATCGTCGAGCGCCCAGTTACACTGATATCATATTTTGATGACAAATTTCTCAACATATGAGTACACTTCGACTCTATGCATCCTGCTACTACTCGCATCTACGCAGAAAAGAGTTAAGAACCTGTAATGTTTCCAAAAATATTGGTGCGCAAAATTTCTAAGCCGAGTTTGAGTGAAAACGCTATTACGCACTACAATGCTCTGTATCAGCATTAGAATATCTTAGCAAAGTCACTGGTGTCAAAGTGTATAAGGCGAGAACCTGTACGCTAATTTCTTGATTTGCCTTGCTCATGAGCTGGGCGTAGAGAAGATCGTGCTTAATTTGCGCTTTATCGAACTCTTTTTCTCGTAAATCAACCATTTCTCGCCAATTCTTCAGCTCTTCTTGAACCTCGGAAATTTTCGATCGTATTCCTGAAGGTGAAAAGAATAATTTGTAACCTACATTTTGGATTTAGTGTGAATTGAATATGTAATTCGAGTGTAAAAGTGGCATAAAGGGACCTGAGTGGTACTTTTTCTCAATAAAACTAAGTTCTCTGTGAAAACATGCAATCTCGGATTTGTATGCCGTCACTATGTCACCCGCTAAACCCTCATTGGCACATACACGATTCTCAATTTTCCCACAAGCCGCGGCGTACTGTAACGTCGACAGCGTTCCCGAGTAGTAGCTATTATAAATTCATATGTCTTAAATGAGAAAATGCCAAAATCTGTATGAAATTTCATGTCTCTTTGTATTTATGGTTTCAAAAGTAGATCATTGAACCAACAATGGTTGAACTCACCACCATTCTTGAGTACTAAGACTACACGTAGAATTCCATTCCCACAAAGATTAACAACCTTAGTGTCTAATATAACAACTAGCAACGCTCGCCGACTTTTTAACAGAAGCCAGTGGCGTTTCGTAATGGATCAATCCGTAAGCACTGCAATATTTGCTTCAGAACCTACAGTCTGCCAAGGTGGACATTCACGATAACAGCTGTCCTACTGTTACCTCCCAGAGAGTCCCTTAAGATAAGGGTCAGTTTCGAATCGCGATACGGTATGCGCTCAGCACGACGGTTTACCCCTGATAGGGTTCGTATAACGCGACCAAGAACAGACAGTGACTGAAATAAATAATAGTCAATGTCAGAATCTAGACCGAAACTAGGAAAACCGTTTACCAGATTGATGTTTACACCCTCCTTGAAACGGTCACCCACAGATTTTGATTGTGTCTGTCTTCCCGATCCTGCCAGTTCCACGAAGTGCAACGTAGCACTATTTTTATTTACATGGCCATTCATCAGCTCTTCGGTTTTCACCCAAAAATGCAAGTATTTACCAGTGATTAAACCAGCTTAAAATATCACATCAGTGTCAATAACTAACTTTCACGATGAAAATACAGTGCGATGGCGATGTCTTTATTCATCGCCGTTTCAGCTGTAAGTCTTGCTTAGCATCCGATCTCCAGAAGCTGTGTGATGTTTTTAATTGCTCTAAATTTACCAAAGACTACACTTAGAAAAAGATCCAAAAACCGACTATGTCAGTAACGGACTGAACCTTGTGTTCGATAATCCCCAGCAACTGCACCTACTGCAGAAAGTCGAAATAGTTTGTCACTATGAAATAGCATTTTTTTTGCTACCTTCGAGTCATTTCGTATCGACGGCTTTTGTTGACAGTGGCTCAGCAAGTCATAGAATTCTTCATTATGCAGTTCCACGAACCGGCATGAAACTTCGTAGTTGAAGCCCACGCCCTTTTAAAAACGAAGACATAGGCGCATTTAAAATAAACTTCTGAGACCTTCTTTTAGACTTCTGCAGGTTTTGCATATGGCTTCTTAAACAGAGCATCACATGCGTATGGCATAAGCCCCCGATGTTGAGGATCGAGAATATTTAAGGTTCGAAGGTCCAAACATCGCATACGTCTTCCCCGATCCAATTTGACCTAGAATATTTCACAAAGCTGTTATAAGAAAGACACCTGTGGATGAAAATGAGGAGCCCACAAAGATTACCATATGCGAAGACAGTTCCATTGTATCCGTCCACATAACCATCCACTATACGGCTTCCAGTCTCTTCAAAAACTTGTTTTTGAAATGATCGGAAATAGTTATGAAAAACAGAATAATACCAGTTTGACCTAGAATATTTCACCGAGAGCCGGGGCGGAGATGCCCGTTTGGTCGAGAAGCGTGCCTTATTATATTATATCCTATATTTATATATTCTTAATACATACTACCATCTCAACGGCCAGGTACGGAGAAGTCTTGACATGTTGCAACTTGATTTCACAGTTGGGCGTTGGAGTTCCCAATTAATGCAGAAATGCATAATAAACTTTTTGAATAAGTAAAGAATGTTATTATTGCTCCGAACAATCCAGCTATTGTCCGCTTAGACACAGCCAGTGATCGACAACCTAGTCCCTAAACTGAAGTGGAATACGTAAGCGGCGATTTTCACTTCTTACAAAACCATCGGGGAGGTAGTTAACAGCAAAAAAACCATCAACTCTGCTCTATGCTCTTCCATTCCACATTTCTCTTACCGCAGTCCACCTTTTAAAAAGTTTGCTCATTAAATAAGGAGCTTTTTCCAAATTAATCCTTTTTATTGATGGAGTTTTATGGTGCACCATAAGTAATACAACTTTCGCAAGCACTAAAAAACCTCCAATACGTCCAAGTAAGTAAGTAAATGTAAGTGAGTAAAAAACCTCCAATAATACAAGCAAAGGCAACAACAAACTTCAGCAGGAAACTTTAATTAGTATGAGAGAAGAAGAAACGTTGTCCGGAAACGAAGCCCACAGTGTACTCCTATTCGAGAACATCCATGATTTTCTTCCGCCTGGAAAGAATTCGAAAATTACACATTCGCGCGTTGAATCTTACGGTCATTGCCAATGCCCGTAATACGCCTTCTCATTACTCACAGCGAAAACTGACGGTTATGAAAAATGTTTACAAAAACTAGGGCTGTCAGCTTTCTAACTGATGCCTATTATTGTTTCTCACGGCATCCGCACGATGTGAAATGGTGGTGCCACTATGGTGCTGAGATATTCCCAAAACTTGTCTGCTAAGGTGCCTCCTAACGGCTTACCGCTTCATCGTGGCTGGGAGGTATTCTAGCATGTCGGACTGCAATGTGCAGCAGGGATTCATTCCCTGGCAAGGTCTCCCAAGCTGAGAAGGAGTCTGGAGATTCTATCAGGAAGCCTAGCTAATAGTAAACTAATACCAGGACCCACCATCGTGCTGGTATCAAAGTCGCATGGTGGTAAATCTCTCTGATCCACAAGGGCTGCAACTTCCCGTGGTGGTAAAGACCTGGGGCAGACTTTGGCTACGCTGACCTCGGGACTCTGGGAAACCATAATGGCATAACCAACAAGTCTCCCAAAATGGAGATTATGCTGGCGCCCGCACAACCAGTGAGGATGGGTCATTCAAGTATCAAGTACCAAGTAACAATGTTTGCTAAGGGTAAGTTCGTTGCGTTCAGTTGTGTTTCTCTTTGTATCATTTTATTGCGAGTGAGTGAAAAGCTTTCCTTCATGTTCTTTAAATGGTCAGAACCTCTGTTTAATTACCTCTTTTCCACACATTCTCGAATGCTGTGACTTCCCAAAGTTAAGTTCATCCTTTGAGAGATTTTGTGATGCGTGCCGATTTCCTTGTGAACTGCTATTCTTTGCATTCTCACAAAAATGGCGACTCAGCTCATTCCTGGTTTGTTTCAGCTTTCATTCGTTTTTTTTACGTACTCTCATTGATAAACTGGCACACGGTTGTTAACGTGTATCTTTAATGTTCGTAGGCTTACGTTTCAGCCACTTCCTGAAGAATCTGGATGTATTCTTAGCTTTATCTGCATTATTAGCTAAATATACTGTGGTCTTGAGCACAATGCAGTATGAGAAGAATGCTCCAGTATGCTAAAGAGTACCCAGCGGTTTCGTTTTATAAAGAGTGACGCAACCCGTTTGTCGTCAATGACGGGTAGCGAGTGGTCTTCACTCAGATGAGAACGTAAGTCTGAGATGAGGTACTAAGCGACGTGTGACAGTGGCTCCCTTCTACGTTACTTATCACGTCTTCCCTGCCAATACATAAAAACACTGCTTTCTTCGACTTTCGAAGTAGCAGGTCTGAGATGTCATATATCCCAAAGGTTCTGGTGACGCAGTGAGGATCCTCTCCCCAGACTCGAAAACGTCAACACGTAAATTCTTGACGTATTTTCAATAAAAGTGCAAATTTTGAAACTGAATATCAAAAATATTTGTTAACGATATCGTTCCGTAACTTCATTATTAGTGCCGAGGTTAATTTCAAGTTCTACCAGACGGTGGAACTAGCTTGCCTTTAAATGTTGCGACGTTTAGCTAAGAAACGTGAAGCCCAGGATGGCGGCCGATTGCCGAAGAAGAAAGATACAACTGGTGGTGAGTAGGGAGAAATCTCGCCAAAGAAAAACAATAGCAGAAAGTAGCGTAGAAGATGAAACGTCAACCGATTGCAGTGCAACAGTGGAAGACGAACATGTTCATAGTCACATTGTAGTTGGTTTGCTACCTCTTCTGATTACACTTTTGTTTATTTTACTGTTTGAAAGAGGTTTATTCTCATCTTTCTCAGAAGGGATTAAAGGTCATTATTTTGCGCGAGAAGAATTGCTTGCTAGCTTAGCTGAAAAACGCTTGGATCTGAAGAAGCTCAACCAGTTTGCTTCGTTATGTCCTATGGAAGATAAATGCGAGTCCAAACTCTTTCTGCTTTTTTCATTGGTTCTTGTCATTGTCATTTACTTAATTTAGTGGATTTCGTAATAGAATGCCCACTTTCCAGCTACGATAAAAGTATTTTATTCGAAGACCGTAGAGCCTACAATCCATCAACGAGGACTCACACCGCAGCGTAGCTATCCAATTGACAACGAAAGTAGTGATGAAGAAGAGCTTGGAAGAAATCATTGTAGTTGGGTAGAGTACTTTTTCAAAGATATTCTTCCTCGTGAAAAGTGCTGTTTTCGTAAATCATCATCTCCATCGCATTTTGCCCATTTTGAAGTACTCCTATTGTTTCATTTAGTGTTGACACAGTGACATCATGAAGTATTGTGATTGTTAGCAGATTGCTAAAATTCTTTGCTACAGAGCTGCGAAGCTGAACCAGCGGCTTTTCCCTGCACGACCTCAACGAGGAGCAGTGTAAGCAGCGCCTGTGACAAGGAAGCGAAGGTGGCGCGCGCAATCGATGAAGAGGTTTCGTGTACAGAATTAGGGCCACATTGAAAGGGTTTCCTCAGGTGTGTCCTTTAGCTCACGTCATATCGCTTGTTTGTTGCCTTCCTCTAACTTACTAACATATCGCGTTGCTTCAAAATGTCTTTCTTTTTCAGTGAAGTTACGTCAGCCGTTAAACGTCTTTGCTAAAAGTGATAGGTAGATTTCGACTAAGTCTAAGTGATGCCAAACGCCCTTTACCATCACCTAACGCTTACATTTGTTTCACATTCTCGATTTTTTTCTTGAATATTTTTGAGAAGGCGCTTTACTACCCACACAATTCTAAAGGCAGCTCGTTGTACTTTTCATTCGTTTTTTCAAGTGCCCTTACGGTAACTCAGTAAGAACCTTGTTAGCTGTTTATTTGTTTTGGGGGTATTTCTCTCGCTTTGTTTTTTAAAACGCTGTGACTAATCTCACTATGCTCCATGGAAAGTAATCCTCGAAAATGCACGTTGGTAGTTAAGGAAGTCGACAAGTGTCATGACAATTTGTTTAATGGGCCAAAGACCAATGTCATGAAGAGGAAGTGTGTCATAGTCGCTAAAGCTTCGGAGGGTGCGATTTTATTGCTTTAGATTCTTTTATTAAGCTTTGCTGTTCTCTTCTTCTTCCTGGTTAGGCTCCAGTTTTTCTGTTTTTTTATAACCTTCACAGTTGTTGACCGTTCGTGTTTATATTTAGGTAACGATTAGTTCTGGTGAAGCGGGATCTGGAAAGGTTACTTAAATGCATCAGTTTCTCCATGAAGCAGGGTGAGTATTGCTTCAAATCGATGTCAGGTTTCAAATTTCATCCCCTGAAACTTTTTTTTTCAATGCGTAAGTTCCATCTTAAAAGTTGTTGAATTCTTTCTGATTTAACGCTTCGGTTTCACCTTATCGAATTTTTCTAATGGAACTCTTTGTAACAACAACTATTACGTGGTTCCGTTATGCAAGCGAGGATCAGTTGACTGGGATCACTGAGCCGTGGCGAGTTATGTGTCTGAACGTTTTGGAAAAGAGTCAGGTACATCTAATGAAGTGTCCCATTAAGTACGAATCAGTAGCTTAAATCTCGAGGTTTCGTTTTCACTTTCCTCATAAGCTAAATATACCAGTATACTCGTGCACGTGGACTGTCCGTCCTCAATAGTTGTGTGGACCCCAGCACAATCTCAATTTTTCGGAGTTTCGCTGGTTTAGCTACTGTTTGCCTGCAGTCCCGAGGTCGGCGTTACCAAAGCCTGCTCCGGGTCGTCACTACCACAGGCAGTCGCAGCCCATGTAGATCAGAGGAAAATTTGTCACCATGCGACTACTTTTATACCAAGACGGTGGTCGA